CAGGAGCACCATGACAATCAGTCAAGGAAGAAACAGCTCTACAGTTACCAGGTTCATCCTCTTGGGATTCTCTGAATTTCCAAAGCTCACAGTTGTCCTCTTTTCAATATTCCTAGGGATCTACCTCATAACAGTGTCCTGGAACCTGGGCCTTATCATCCTGATCAAGATGAACTCCCATCTGCACACACCTATGTATTTCTTCCTTGATAAACTTGCCTTCATAGATACATGCTATGTTTCCTCCACAGCCCCCAAGATGCTCTCAGACTTCTTTCATGAGCAGAAGTCCATCTCCTACATGGGCTGCACCATGCAATACTTTTTCTTCTCTGGCTTTGCTCTGACCGAGTGCTGTCTCCTGGCGGCCATGGCTTATGACCGATACGCTGCCATTTGTAGTCCTCTGCTCTACACAACCATCATGTCCCCCACCCTCTGTCTGCAGATGATGGTAGGATCTTCCATAACTGGATTCTGTGGCTCATTTATCCAACTGTTTGGCTTACTTCAGCTCCATTTCTGTGGGCCCAATGTCATCAACCATTTCTTCTGTGATTTGCCCCAATTGCTGATCCTATCTTGCTCTGACACCTTTTTCTTACAAGTTATAACGTCTGTGCTCACAGTCATCTTTGGACTGACCTCTCTCCTGGTCATCATGATATCCTATGGTTATATTGTTGCCAGCATTATGAAGATCACTTCAGCCGAAGGCAGGTCCAAGGCTTTCAACACCTGTGCTTCTCACATAACAGCAGTGACCCTCTTCTTTGGCTCGGGCACCTTTGTCTATTTATGCCCCAGCTCTGATGATTCTCTTAGCCAAAACAAGCTGGCTTCTGTTGTATACACTGTGATGATTCCCATGTTAAATCCAGTGATCTACAGTCTGAGAAACAAAGAAATCAAAGATGCCCTAAGCAGATGGAAGAGGACAATTTTCTCCTGACATTATTTTTTGGACAGGTTTGCATATTGTATTCCAATAGAAGTGACTTCAAAAACAAGAATATAGGGTTTTAAAATATAGAGTGTAGTGTCACTTCAAGACTTGTGGAAAATACTAGCTAAGTCTGGCTAGACTTTTATCTATTGATGAACAACAATTACTGGGTGCTTGTTAATGGGGGTCTTGGTGCAGAATGTTTTTTTCATCATTTTTTAAAATAATATTTTATTGCATTTTTGGTGAAAGTTTACACAACAAGTTAGGTTTCATTTGATACAAATTGTTCTGTGACTTTAGTTACATTTTTCACATTATGTCAGCATTCCCTTAAGTTATGTCTGGTTGATCCATTTCCAGTACTCTAGTCCCCCTGCCCGCTAATCATCTCATCTTTATTTTAGTCTCCTGATATTATTGATTAGAAGGTACCTTTTAGGATCTAGGACACAAAACATATACAATGGTGTATGAAAAAATGATACTTATTACACCTATAATAGATTGTGTAGCTGTCCATCAATATCTCCCTCCCCCTCCCAACCTTGAGGAAAATTATACTTCTTTGTCCCTTTGAATTTAGGCTTGATGTTGTGACTTTTCCTGGAAAATGAATCATGAGCGGGCATGACAAATGTCACTATTCTGGTAGCACAGTGCCTAAGGCACTTGACTGCTAACCAGAAGGCTGGCGATTCAAACCCACCAGCCACTCCTCGGAAGGAAGGTTGGGCAATCCTACTTCCGTAGTGATACTGCCTTGGAAACCCAAGGAGGGTTTGCTATGAGTCAGGACTGACTTGATGGCAAATAACAACAACAACAACAAGCAGAGGCTTCATACACGTGCTTTTCTACTGGCTCTTCTCCCGCTGTTCCCATTGATGATGACCCATGGTAAGGGTACTTTCAACTCACCCAACATGGATGTTGCTGTCGTTGTTGTTAGGTACTGTTGAGTTGGCTCTGACTCATAGCGACCCTGTGTACAACAGAACAAGACACTGCCCAGACCTGTTCCAGCCTCACAATCCTTGCCATACCTGAGCCCATCATTGCAACCACTTGCACAATTAAGTGTTCTGGAATTCCCATTCTTTTCAATGTTATCCATAATTTGTTATGATCCACACAATCGAATGCTTTTGCATGGTCAATAAAACATAAGTAAACATCTTACTGGTATTCTTTGCTTTCAGCTAAGATCCATCTGACATCAGCAATGATATCCCTCATTCTACATCCTCTTCTGAATCCAGCTCACACTTCTGGAAGTTCTTTGTCAATAAACTGCTGCAACCATTTTGAATTATCTTCAGCAAGATTTTATTTGTGTGTGATATTAATGATATTGTTTGATAATTTCTACATTCTTTGACATCACTTTTCTTTGGAATGGGCACAAATATGGACCTCTTCCAGTCAGTTGGCCAGGTAGCTGTCTTCCAAATTTCTTGGCATAGATGTGCAAGTAACCTCCAGCCTCTTAGCAACACACAAGCCACCACAGTACAACAGACTGACAGATGAGTGGTGGACCCAAGATGGATGGGTAGTGTTATCAAGAAATAAATCTTTTTTTTTGATTGGTTGCCAATATAGCATAACTCAGTATAACTATTATGAACATTTGTACAGATGTTGTTGTTGTTATTTGCCATCTAGTTGGCCCCAACTCATAGCGACCCCTCCTTGGGTTTCCGAGGCAGTATCACTACGGAAGCAGGAATGTCCAACCTTCCTTCTGAGGAGTTGCTGGTGGGTTTGAACCGCCAGCCTTCTGGTTAGCAGTCAAGTGCCTTAGGCACTATGCTACCAGAGCAGATAGGGGTGTGCTATTACAAAAAAAAAAAATTATTAAAAGTTTAACATTTGCATGTGTCTTTAGAGCTTTAATCTTTAAAGCTTACTGTCTCTAGAGCAGTGGATGTGAAAGAATCTGTTATTTCAAGCTGGAAAGATACCAGTTCGTGTTTGGCACAATAAAACATTTGATCCAAGTGTGACCAGTAATAGCTTGCAAAGGAGATGATAGAAGTAATGATGTAAAGTAAATTATAGATTTAGATATAAAATAGGAAATGAGAATATTTGTAGCATGAGTTGATTGCTGTTGGATGCATTTAACAAGGTTCTACAAGATAGAGATAAGTCACAAAACAGCTAGTCATTTTGCAAGTAAGAATGAAAAAGAATAGAGAGTTAAGAAATTTGGGGAATTGCAGAGTTAGAACATAAAACTCGTTCTCATTTCTAACCTTCTAGTCCTTCTAAAAATTAGAAGGACACTGAGCAAAAATGACAATTAAACCCAGTCTTGCAGCAAGGACCAAATCAAGGGTGTGGGCATCACAACCCATTGTTAATACCTCCAAACAATGGAAGGTCATGCTCAAAAAATCTTTTCAATAAGAGAAAATGGTTTATTGAAAAAAGTTAGGGAGGTAAGATTTTTTTTTTAAAGCCTGATAATGTGAAGGTGTCTGATGATGTCCCTCGTTACCCACTTGATACTCATACCTATTTAACATTTAAGTATGAGGAAAGTAAGAGTGTGGCAAACCTTTGACCAATGGGAGAGGGAAATGCAAGGATCATTTTTTCTCCCCTACTTTTCCTGGGCATATTGTCCTGAAATGCCCAATATGCTAGGAAAGAAGGCAAAGTTGAGCTATCAGCAGGGTACCATTCCTCAAGCACACCAACCAGCCACCTGGTGTGGGGTCTATTCTAGGGAACACTTCCAACCTAGAGTTGACTTATGCTTACTGGATTGACACATGCTTTAGATACGGCTTTGCCTTCCTTGTACAGTATCTATGCCTATACCTCCATTTGGGGCTTACAGAATGTTTGATCTACAACAAGGTACACCCTATACCATGCCTCAATCCAAAGGACTAAGCTGATGACAAAGGACGTGTGCCAATAGGAGCATAACTATGAGATGCATGGATCTTAACATTATATGCCATCATACAGAAGTAGCTGGCTTAAGAGCTGTATTAAGATGTCAGCTAGAAAAAAATTACCTTTGTGGTTAAGGGACTATACTCCAGGAAATTGTATGTGCACTGAACAGGCAGTTTATATGTGATGCTGTTTCTCCAGTAGCTAGAATATATGGGTCCAGAAACCAAAGGATGGAAGCAGAATGTTCAGCCCTTCCCTCCCCTTAACCAACATCCCCACTGGTTCACTTTTAGGATTTGTGCTTCCTTTCCTCATAAGTTCAGACTCTGTGAAGTTAGAAGTCCTAGATCCCAGAAGCAAGCACTTCTGCCAGGGAGCACAGTAAGGATTCCATTGAATGTGAAACTGAGACCTCTGCCTGATGCCAGTAGACCAGCGGTCAAAGAAAGGACCTCCCACATCAGTGAGGATAATTGACCTGATTGCCTTGAGGAGTCAGGCTTGCCGCTAAACAGCTGGCTGGAAGGAATATGTCTAGAACCCAGGGGATTCATGGACATCTCTTGATGCTTTTGTGTCCAGGGAGAACAGTTAATGGGCAACTGCAGCAACCAGGAACTATAAAGGGCAAGGCAACTAAGAGCTCAGAATCCTTAGGGATGAAGGGCTGATTTAACCCTCCAGACAAGCAACCCAAACCAGCTGAAATGATGACTACACATAAGGAAAAAGTGAAATGGGGGATGATGAAGGGGTAAGATTAATCAATTGAGGTTTCGGATCAAGTTGCTACAGCAAGGACAATAGCTTGCTTCACTGACCTGACTGACTCTGTCTCCTCAAGTGGGGAGGAAGGGAGGACATCTAGTTCCCACAAAGAGGAAGCCATATTGCAGGACTGGAGAGATACAGTGGGAAGACCGGAGCAGATCTGGGTGGTGGGAAGGGTGACCTGTGTCAGATGCTTATTATCAACCTTCAGACCCTCTCGGCCTCATGGGTTTCTGTGCTTGTTTGTTATAGCCCTAGCTGTGGCTGTGACAACAGTTCTGCAAGGCCACCTACCTGTTTCACTCAATGTGACAGTGTCTTGCTTCATGCTTACTCCCTATTTCACATAAAATGTTAACTGCATCTTTGATCTAGAAGAGAAAATCTGCATTTTTCTCTAGTCTTGTTTTGAAATATTGCAAGAGATAAGCACACAATGTCTAGTTAAAACTACATCATCTTACCAAACCAACAAAACAAAACAAAAAACAGTTGCTGTGGAGTTTATTCCAACTCATGGTGAGCCCATGTGTGTCAGAGTACTCTATGTATGCCATAGAGTTTTCATGGCAGTGACCTTTTGAAAACAGATAGCCAGGACTTTCTTCCAAGGCACCTCTGGATGAATTCTGAGTGCTTAGCCTATTGCACCACCAGGGAGACACGCTCCTCTCATAACAAAGGACAAATGTTATTGTAAGGAAAGAGAAAAATCACTGTTCATATGACAGATGCACAAGTTACCAGAAGATATATTTAAATAATCGGAACAACTGGGATTAAGACCCTATGAAATTTATTTACTAGGCAGGAAAATAGAAACAGAGAAAAGCTTTTTAGAAAATTCACTGAGGTGGCATGTGACAAGCAGGATGAACCTATAGGACAAGTGGTGACCATTTCTCATGACTTCCCATACGTACCTGGAGAGGGAGAACACGTAAAGCATATGACACACGATAGAGGCACGTGCTTCCAAATTTGGATATTGGAAACAGGTGTGTAATGCCACTTATGGGATAATCTTGCTAAAAATATAAAAACTGAATCATATTGTCTCTATATCAACTACCAACTTGCAGGAAATACAGAGGAAACCATGTTAAACTACACTATGGGAGGGTAGTCAGCAAACTCCAAGTTACGAGAAAGACCACAGGAGAAATGTGAATTGCAGAGAGACAGCAAGAGAGAGAAAGGGAAAATATTAAGCACAGGCAAAATTCAACTGAGGATTCAGAGATCAACACTTGAGTGATAAAGTTATTTTTAAAAAGAAAGGAAGTGATTATCATGAATCAAGATCCTCTAAGTACCCT